GCCGAGGCGTAGCTGGCAAGCGGCAGAGACGGAGCAGGCCGACCACCAGCTGGCCCAGCCCAAGGGAGGTAAGGCACCCGCCGGAAAAGGGGAAAAAATGGCGGACAAAAAAAATGGCGGACAGCCTTGCTTGGCGACCCCCGTGAAATGGTCGATCGACCCCAAATGGGGTCCCGACCCACAGGTTGAGAACCACTGGCCTAGTCTTAAACGCACGATTTCAGAAATAGTCAAATATGGATCAGAATTCTACTTGAGTCAGGAGCACTTTTTGTGCTGTGCTGTGGGTGAAGATTAGGGTCCCTATCCCTCTGTTAGCATGAGAAAAATGCTCCCATTAAAGCAAATTGGAATCCCCATTTCCCATATAAATTGCAAGTATATGTCCATTGTTTGGAATCACAAAATGAAAACTTAAGTCCCTGTGTCTGCTGACTTGGGATTCATACCACAATTGGAAATTCCCCCCCAAAATGTTGGTATTCAAGAGCAAGCCATATGATTAGTGTTACGATGTAGTCTCAGAATAAATTTTTAAGTACAGGTAGTCCTTGAATTACAACTGTTCATTTAGTGACTGTTCGAAGTTACAACAGCAATGAAAAAGTGACTTATGACCATTTTTCACACTTATGACTGCTGTAGCATCCCCATGGTCACATGATCAAAATTCAGGTGCTTGGTTTGACTTTTATTTACGATGGTGGGGTCATGTGATCACCTTTTGTGACCTAACAGGCAAAGTCAATGGGGAGGCTAGATTCACTTAACAATCGTGTTATTAGCTGCAATGATTCACTTAACAACTGTGGCAAGAAAGATTGTAAAATGGGGCAAAACTCAACCAATTTCTCACTTAGCAACAGGTATTATATTGGGCTCAACTGTGGTCTTAAGTCAAGGACTGCTTGTACCTGTTGGACATTTTGTAGGGCTATTTTATTTAATGCTACAGAGTAAACCAGTAGATAGAGTACATCTGAAGTACATTTGAAGAAGTATGGGGAAAGAATGAAATTGCAGTCTTCTTCATAAATGAACTTTAAATGTAATGTGTCATTTAAATTATTGATAAATTATTTAAACATTCTAAATAAAAAATGGAAATTTAAAACCTTTCCTAGATAACTTTCCTCAAATTGCTTATTCTTTTAATTCATATCAAAACTAGCCACATTTAGTCCCTAGCATATTCTTCACCACCTACTTTTGATATAATCCCTCTTTCTCTCTCTCTCTCACTTTATGTGTGTGTGTGTTTGTATATGTATACACAAACATATATACACATACATACTTAATGATATAAACTAGATTTATACATTTATTTGGATTTTACCTTTAGTTATAACTGAGATATAAATTAACATCTTTAATTCAATTGATGTAAAGCTTTGCTTTTCATTCTTCACTGGTTTTATGATTGTATTTGTTCATTGAAGAAAAAAATGGTTGCTTTATAATTTGAGGTAAATGGAATGTGTTCAGCATACAGAGTCGTGAAAATATTATCATTTCTTATGAGTCACTCCTTTATACTTCAAATCTTAGAAGCCATCCACTCCCTGTTTCTATCAAGTCCTCTGGTATTCCTCTCATTTGCAATAGAGTTTAGAAGAAATAAGAAACAATGGGAAAGTCTCCTGCTCCTATTTTACTGGGAAGCAAGAGTTTTGTTTGATATAGGAACTTATGACCCTTCCCTCTTTTCCCCAGTTTTAAATCAGGAGGATAGGGCAATCTACCAATTGTGCAGTGATTCTCACCATCACTCTAAAGTTAGGAAAGGAGGAGTGATTATTGTTAGCTAGTCATGTGGTGGCTGTGAAAACTATAATGTGTAGGTGGGAGGAAGGGCAGTTGGAAGCTTCTGGGGTGAGAGCATTTTCTAACAGCAGCGCTCAAGCTGAGTTTTCCTGCTGCAAAAAATTATATATTTTTTGTATTCCTGGTAACAGCTATGTTTACAAAGCAAGAGAATTACTTTTTAAAGTGAAATATGGCAGCTTGTGAAAGGATCATTTATGTTTGAAGTATTTGCCAGCTATATTGGTCTCTGGGAAAATAATTTTGACCCAGTACAGTAATTTAATTTTCTATGACAACGTATTTTATACTTGATTTAATGCTCTGTTTTCACAGGCGAGCGTCCCTATCGATGTTCCATGTGCCCTTATTCAAGTTCTCAGAAGACTCATTTAACGAGACATATGCGTACTCNGAAGGGGGTGGGACCAGGGCAAGTGCCAAGGCATGGTCCACTGGAGGAGCCTCACTGTTCCTCTCAGGACATGTGGGGGGGGCTGGATGGTGGTGCGGGCTGCCCGGAGCCTTGGGCAGCAGAGGTCAAATGCCCAGCCTGGCCCTCGAGCACCCGTGGCACCAAGCCCAGCCCCACTTCCCCAAGGGGGAGCCCAGCTGCACTTACCTCCTCCTCAAGGCTGCTGCTGCTGTGCTTGCTCTCCTTAGCCAGGTTGCTCATGATGGGTACAAGGGCAAAGTCAGAGGGAGGCCCATTCCCTCTCCATGGGAGGAGACCCAGCTTTGTATCCAAAGCTTCCTTAGCAATAGGGTGGGAGACCCCCAGGATAGGCAAGGGGATGGTGAAAGGGCAGCAGAGCAGGACTTCCCTCAGACCCTCCCTCTCCTTTCCTTCTTTTCTTTCTTCCTTCCTAAGTACAGAGTGGTGGGAAAATATTTGAGATGAGGGAGGGAGAAAAACAGGCAAGAAACGCAGTTGGGGAGGTGTTACCCTTCGTGAGGAATGAATAAATGCACCATCGCCTGGAAGTGGCCAGCACATCGCCCTCACCTACTTCACATACCTGGTTTGGTGGGCTCTGGGGGAGGGGATGCCATGAGCAGTGTGAGAGTCAACGTTACCTGCGCAATGCCGCCAGCCTGCCCGGTTTCAGCAGGCAGCGAGGTGCTCTCCTCACAGCGCCGAGAGGCTGAGCCAGGCGGCGTGAATCCAAAAAGAAGCGAGACACTGCCCAGCCCCCAGCCTGCCCGGTTTCGGCAGGCAGCGGGGCGCTCTCCTCACAGTGCCGAGAGGTTGAGCCAGGCAGTGGAAAGCTTGCCAGCTTTGTACCTTGCTGCCTGCTGAAACTGGGCAGGCTGGGGGCTAAGCAGCATTGCACTTCTCATCAGATTCGCGCCACCTGGCTCAGCCTCTCGGCGCTGTGAGGAGAGCGCCCCGCTGCCTACCGAAACCCCTCCTCCGGAGCCGGATATGTGAAGTAGGTGAGGGCCATTTGCTGGCCACTTCCAGGCGATGGTGCATTTCTTCATTCCTCACAAAGGGTGACACCTCCCCAGCATGCACCCAAGGGGTGGGGCCAACGCGGCAGGCGCTGGTTCCTCGCTGTTTCCAGACAGCCGTGTGGAGCTAAGACTGAATGTGTTTCAGCATAGATGGCCACCACAAAATTGTACATTGGCTCCCGGCCAGCCGGCCTGGGCCAGGGCCAAGGCAGTGGGGGCCGTTCCCTCACTGTTTTCAGGATGGCTTCGTGGGCCACATGAAACCACTTCGCGGGCCTCATCCGGCCCCCGGGCCTTGTGTTTGACATGTCTGACATTGACATTGTGGTTTTACAGCTGTGATACAATTATTGTTACCTAGCAACTTAAATAAATATATAAGAATCAGGTATGAAAAATAAATATAGTCAACTAGCTGCCATTAGTCATATTTAGAATCTTAAAAGGTAGCAAACACATTTATAAATAGTGCAAATTCTATGGTTAGTAGTTGTAATTTTAAAAATACATTCAGAAATCACTTCACCTTGGTATTGGTACCAGAAAAGTAAAAAATAGGTGTTTTTTTCTCTAGAAATTTTGAATTTTGTTTACTAGGCTGAACTGGATAGCTAACTTTGAATCTCATTTAAAGGAAATATTAAATAATATTGTTGCCATGAAAACTCTTATTGATTTCTTAGTATAAACTCAGACAAAGAGATTATTAGCCAAAGTATGCTTGAAATAGAGAAGGATTCACCTCCTACTTTTCATATAATCCCTCTCTTTCTCTCTCTCACTTTATGTGTGTGTGTGTGTTTGTATATGTATACACAAACATATATACACATACATACTTAATGATAAAAACTAGATTTATACATTTATCTGGATTTTACCTTTAGTTATAACAGATATAAATTAACATCTTTAATTCAATTGATGTAAAGTTTTGCTTTTCATTCTTCACTGGTTTTATGATTGTATTTGTTCATTGAAGAAAAAAATGGTTGCTTTATAATTTGAGGTAAATGGAATGTGTTCAGCATACAGAGTCGTGAAAATATTATCATTTCTTATGAGTCACTCCTTTATACTTCAAATCTTAGAAGCCATCCACTCCCTGTTTCTATCAAGTCCTCTGGTATTCCTCTCATTTGCAATAGAGTTTAGGAGAAATAAGAAACAATGGGAAAGTCTCCTGCTCCTATTTTACTGGGAAGCAAGAGTTTTGTTTGATATAGGAACTTATGACCCTTCCCTCTTTTCCCCAGTTTTAAATCAGGAGGATAGGGCAATCTACCAATTGTGCAGTGATTCTCACCATCACTCTAAAGTTAGGAAAGGAGGAGTGATGATTGTTAGCTAGTCATGTGGTGGCTGTGAAAACTATAATGTGTAGGTGGGAGGAAGGGCAGTTGGAAGCTTCTGGGGTGAGAGCATTTTCTAACAGCAGCGCTCAAGCTGAGTTTTCCTGCTGCAAAAAATTATATATTTTTTGTATTCCTGGTAACAGCTATGTTTACAAAGCAAGAGAATTACTTTTTAAAGTGAAATATGGCAGCTTGTGCAAGGATCGTTTATGTTTGAAGTATTTGCCAGCTATATTGGTCTCTGGGAAAATAATTTTGACCCAGTACAGTAATTTAATTTTCTATGACAACGTATTTTATACTTGATTTAATGCTCTGTTTTCACAGGCGAGCGTCCCTATCGATGTTCCATGTGCCCTTATTCAAGTTCTCAGAAGACTCATTTAACGAGACATATGCGTACTC